TGCATCGCTACTAGTAACGAGTGCCTTACTACTAGTAACAATGAGTGCATCGCTACTAGTAACTAGTGCCACGCTAGTAGTAACAAGTGCCTTACTACTAGTAACAAGTGCCACGCTAGTAGTAACAAGTGCCGTACTACTAGTAACAAGTGCATCGCTAGTAGTAACGAGTGCCTTACTACTAGTAACAATTTTTTGCATTTTCTTTCCGTCGTTCAGGTCACCTAATGTCGGTCGTCACACTGACGTGACTGTCAATACCAATATCCAATCCAGCCTGTGAAACCCCGTACCTGGAGTATGCTGAAGACTTGTTGCTTGGAATCGGTGCGTCCTAAGTACCTCCTCAAAGCTAAGCTCGACAATTGTCCAAATTTTAGCAATGCCTTGGTTTATGATGGTTCACAATCGATCACCAACAACCAGCTTTAGGAATGGACCGATCATCCAATGTGTGCAAAATCCAAACACATTTTGGTTGCCTCGTAACCCTTCAACCCATAGGTGGACAATGGATGACAGTTCATTTTCTTTGTCAACCACTCAACCAGAGTCCCCCGGTCTTGACCCCCCACATGTGTCCGGCCAAGGTCCTTCAGATTTCATGAGTTTGAGTTTCGGTTTCCTTAGTTTCCTTCGTGCTTCGCCTGAAGCATCTGCATCTCCAGCAATAGGTTGACCTCATTCCTGGTGACAGGAACCTGCAGGTGCGGGTGGGCAACGAGTTTGATCTCCAAACTAACAATGTGCCGAGTGCGGACATCTTAGAAGAATGTGCCTCGGTGGGTTCCGTGACACGTGACACTGAGAAGTCAAAGCGTAGGTCTTCGTCTTGGCTGACCACGTCCTGTGGACACAACGCATGCAGCTACAGACGTGAAGTGCGACTCACGACTTGCTCATCTAATTGTCCGTCAAAACGCAACACGCGTTTGACTCTTTCAATCGGTCGTGCGTCGTGTCCTGCACGGTCGTGATATGAAGAGCCTCAGCATCTTGACCTCGGACTGTGCTCTTTCCCTTGTGGAAGGTCATGCATCGTTGGGAAGCACGAACAATCGCTATCGAAAGCTGTGGCCATGTATTGAGTTGACATCGATGCAATGCATGGAGAATTATTGCTCGGAGGCGTGAGCATAGGGCGTATCAGTGGGTGAGGGCGCTGAAAGGGTGCCTGTTGTGGAGATGGGTGCGCTTATGAAGGCATCCCAACGCAATCTTTAACGAGATACTGAACAGAATTCCTGCGCCACTGCACCCCGCAAGGGTCATGTTGGCCCCCTCACTTAAAAGTTGGCGTTCTGAGGTGGTGCAACTTCTTCTGTTTTTTCTCACGGCAGTCTCAATGTGAAAGAGAGAACGAGGGCAGCAAGAAAAGTGAGCACACAGCGGTGCAGGATTTTGTCTTCCAACCGCATGAAATCGCAAACAAATCACCCAGCTACCAAGCGATTCCAAGTGCTTCCAAGCACGTGATTAAGAAGTCATCTCACTGTGGCCTGACAAATCCTCCGTCACCAAATAGCCGATGGCCCTGCTGACGGAGGGGCTCACCCGAAAAGTTAACCTCAAAGTGCTCAGGCTGGTCATGGTCACCTTCTGATCCACGCGGGACACCTTGCATTGCGTCAATTTGTGACAATGCATTGCAACATACTAGTCTTACTAGTAGCTAGAAACTATTAGGTTGGAGGACATTACTATAGTAACAAGAAGCTCTTCCGTCGCCTTGACGACTTCAGCTTCACCCGCTCCTCTCTCTGAGTGCGGAGCTGAGAGCTCCAGCAGCCGTGGGGTCACCAGTTGTCCAAAGATGCTCTTCGCCGCCACCAAACTGCTCCCACGCAACTGTTCGCCCTGAAAGACCGTGGCCTGACAGAAAACGTCAGCAACGGCCTCCATGATAAAAGCAACACACAAAGAACAACGAACTGTTCAGTTCTCACGCTATTTCGGCAAATTTGAGGGAGGGATGTCTGTCAAAGACGCCCTTGCGCCTGGGCACTCAAAGTCTTTCGTGGATACCAAGTCGCCACACTGAAATCCAGCAAAGGTGTCAAACGCTCCGTGCTCCCCGGCAGGTCCAACAAGCCAAGGCCTCACGGTTTGTGCCATCCATCCATCTCGTAAGAATGCTAGTAGCGTCCGATCGCTCCTAGTAGTACGGCCAGGAGCCCCGAGTAGCGTTCTTGTTCCTAGTAGCGATGCCCTTTGCTCCTGGTAGCTTCTTTTTTCAGGAATTGTTGGTATTGTGATGTGATTGGTGCCTTCTTCCAAGATGAATCGGATGCTCCGGCTTTGGCATCCCGGCGACGGAAATGGCGTGGTCGAGTACCTGCGAAATGGTTTGGCGGTCCAATCCGATTGACGTTCTGATCACTTTTACATCGAACGAAACATCACGTTCTGACGATTCAGGCGGTTCGGTTCTGTTTTTCGGCCTGCGGTACTTGGAGCAGCTGTCGGTGCCATTGCCTCGAGACAGAGTCCGACTTTGAGCCAAGTTCTGAAAAAGCCCCTAATAGCTTCTTGTTAGTAAGGCCAGGAGCCACTAGTAGCGTCCATGCTCCTAGTAGCGATGCACCTTGTTCCTGCATATCCTTGTCGAGTCACTTTCAGTTCCAAGGCTCAATTAGCAGTACTCTCTGAACATTTGATGACACCGACTATATATATTCATTACCGAAACAAACTGCACCTCTTTTGTTGTGATCCACTATAGCGAGCTTTTGTCTTCATGAAACGTCTTTCAAACAAAACCATTTTATACCTCGGCCTGAAAAATCATACCCATCAGGCGCAGTGATTTGCAAGACATCTCCCGACTCCAGCGCTGTATACAGTAGGATCCTTGGACGCTCTCGTGGGGGCAGGCAAAGCAACATTTAAAAGCACGAGAGAATTGCACTTGGTTTGCGAGGAATGAGCAAGGTGCTAATCTTTACGCTTACGGCATCTAAAAACTACTAGTAACAACGGCATCGCTACTAGTAGCTAAACGCTACTAGTAGCGATGCACTTGCTGTGCAAAGGAAGCTTCTGGATACGAAGTTCCAGCTCGTCAAGAGCTGTTGTGACAGGATAAACGACCTGCGCACAGCTGTACTTTGTGGAAGAGCGTGCGGAAAGGCGGAAAGCCCTCTCTGGGTCAAAGCGGCTTACTTGAGTCATTCCAAGCTAGCACTGTGGGCGGATTCACCGATTCACCCAAAGTAGCAAATTAACACGAATCCTTAACTCCTTTCAATCACATGCTTGACAAACCATCTAATATCAATCGTGCGTTTACGCTTTCATTCGTTATGTTTCCGAGCGTAGGTGGTAGCGAGGGGTACTCCGGTCACGGTGTGACTCCCCACCTTCAGTGTGTGGAAGACTTCAGTTAATCGAAAGCCTCTCACTTGGCCCAAATCCAAGAGTGCCGCATAGTCTGCCTGGAGCAAAGAGCACTCCGACTCACACCATCTCACACCTCTCAATCACTTTGGCGCAACGACTTTGGATGTTGTGCTGTCGCCGTGTTGCTCAACACATTGACCGGCCAATCCTAACATTCCCCACAAACTGGCACCGTGCCTGCTTCGTTGAGTAGCTTTGCAATTGCCAGGTTCCTGCCTTGGGTGTCCCACTTCCGGCCACTGGAAAACTACAAATGATTAAAACCAGCCATCAACTACTTATGACTCGTCTTGTTTCAAGAGCACATAAAGAATCTCGTGAAAGAGTCCGTGGACAGGCAAAAAGACAGGTTGAGGGCGGGTGCAACTGAAATCTTTGAGATCTGTAGAGTCTCAGCAGGCCTCCAAGGTGATGATGGTGGGATTGACACAAAGCAAAGCTAACCTTGGTCTCCAAGGCAAATTCAAGATTGAAATTATACCTGAACCGGTTGGCGCAACCATCTGTGGACTTTCCTGGAGAGAGCTGCAAACCCTAAACCCTAAACCCCATGCCAACTCTCTATGTGCCAAGCAGCTCGTACTTCCCCAAAGCCATCAGCTCATTTGCCACATGCAGCTCCCCAATGTTCGAAGGCGATGCAGTGCCACGGCAGCTGACTGGGTGGCTCATATGATCCTGAAGAGAATAGAATCTGAACTGAGAAAGCTAAAGTAGCGGTCTATAGGTGAAGCTACTAGGAGCAAAGGGCATCGCTACTAGGAACAAGAAGCTACTAGGGGCTCCTGGCATCGCTACTTGGAGCAAGGACGCTACTAGGGGATCCCATTTGAGATATATTTTGAGTTTCCCGTTTAGGAACCAAACCATTAGTGCGAGCGTTTCTTCAAGTATGTTGTGTCAACACGTCTCTCTGTCTTTCGGACAAGTCCGAAATGAGCTCTTCAAGAAATCCTCTGTTCCAAGCTCTCAGGCATTCTGCTTGTCTTGCTTTTTCTGTGCATCCCTCATATGTCATAGTGCGTCCAAGCATCTGCCAAGGCATCTACCAAAGACGCGTGGCAATTTGTGGGAATCCGGAAGCCAAAAGGTGCCTGGCAAACGTCTTAAATCTGCAAAGTAACGACAGTCAACCCATCCCGGCTTTAAACGGAAAGCTAACCTAGGTACTTCTTGCTCACAGTATCTCACTTTCAACAATCGCTATGTACTCGCATGTGCTTACTAATCACATACGGACTCTCTGATACTGACTAGTAACCAGGGCATTGCTACTAGTTACAAGGGCATTACTAGTAACAAGAAGCTACTAGGAACAAGTGCATCGCTTCTAGTAACAAGTGCCTTACTAGTAGTAACAAGAAGCTACTAGTAACAAGTGCCTTACTAGTAGTAACAAGGGATCCCAGGTTTTGGGGTGTGACCCGTCCTGGATCGCCAGGAATCCTGTTGAAGGCAAAGCGTTCGTTGTCCGGAAAAGGATAGTCACATTGTTCGGGGTCTCCTGATTCAAATTGCACAAAGAAGACCTGAACAAATGGTGAAAGAGCAATTGCTTTTCTTACAATTGAAATCTGAAAAAGAATTGGCATTCTTCATGATGTGCATCCAGATGTAGTGACACCCTTTAACGTAGTTCCTTGTAACTGTCTTGACTCTTCACTCTGAAGTCTAGTTTGACGGCAAATAGCAAGAAATAATCCGCGACTGTGGTTGGCGAGGTTTCTTCTTATGCACAAGACCACCACAAATCTACTCAGCTAGCTTCCATTTTAAATATGCAGTTGTCGAGCTGCCACTCTAGAAGAATGTTGAAGGACATTCTAGACTTTCTATGTCTGCACTCTATCGCTTTTCATATGTATATATATCCTTTTGCTTCTCCTCGGCCAACGTGGAGCGAGCAATGGCTGATGGTGTGACTGAGACTTCATCAAAGCGCCAAAGACGATAGCCCTCGAAGGGCTCCTTGAAGGCAGGTCCGCATGTCACTCTCTACTTGATGACCCATACAATATAGCATGGCAATGCATGGCATCCAAATTGATGGATCAAATCCTTGTGCTTTCATGAGAACTAGCAATGTATCCAAAGAGATGACAAAGTTCCAACGAACCTTTTCCAATGCATTGCTTGTACGAGCGTTCAGGAATCCAGTCTGCAATGCCGGTTTGACGAAACTCGTTCGCTTCCAGAGCTTGAAGGATCAATAGGCTTGCCAACAGGCTGAGCCAACAGGTCCGAACTGTCAACTTGGTCCAAAAGTGGGACATAATGCAACGAGTAGCGCTTGCTTCATCGCTGAAGCTGATGCTCCAGAAGTTTTGAGCCTCGTTTCGAGGACAAAGTGAAGGAGTTCACATTGTGCTGCTGACAAGTCACGCGAGGTTTGAACAATCTGCAGCAGTGAAGTGCTGTGTGACTCAGCCATGGAAGACCTGTGCTTCAATACATGTCTGTATATCGGGAACATTAACTCTTACACCCCCTCGATGGTGTCCAAGTGAACGCCAAACCCAACCTACTGGTGATGGCCTCCAACCCACTTGCGATGGCCTCCAACCTACTAGCGATGGCCTCCGACCTAATAGCACTCCCAATAGCGATGGCCTCCAACCTAAGAGCGATGGCCTCCAACCTAATGGCGATGGCCTCCAACCTACTGGCGATGGCCTCCAACCTAATAGCGATGGCATCCAACTTAATAGCGATGCCTCCAACCTGGTGGCCTTCAACCTACTAGCAATGGCCTCCAGCCTACTAGAAATGGCCTCCAAGCTAAATAGCGATGGCCTACCTAATGGCGATGGCCTCCAACCTAAGAGTGATGGCCTCCAACCTAATGGCGATGGCCTGAAACCTACTGGCGATGGCCTCCAACCTACTGGCGATGGCCTCCAACCTACTAGCGATTGCCTCCAACCTAATAGCGAT